CGAGGCGGGGGGGATCGGGGCCGGGGCAGGTCCTGGGCGTAGCGAGGGGGGACCCGGATCAGCCTCTGGACCCGGCAGGAGCCCCGGGGACGTGCAGGGTAGGCCGGAGCCTGGGCACAGCTCGGAGCTTGGCCGTTCAATGGGACGTTGCCCTGCCCCTGTCCTCCCCCAGCGTGTTCCCGGGGAGGCTCAGCCATGCCAGATGTGTGTCTTGGGCCTCTACAGGAGGTCCTGGGGGAAGATAAGCTCATGGCCATCCTGAAGGAACGAGAGCTGAAGATCTACTGGGGGACTGCTACCACGGGCAAGCCGCACGTGGCCTACTTCGTGCCCATGTCCAAGATCGCAGACTTCCTGAAGGCAGGGTGTGAGGTACGGGGCCAGGCTGGGAGCTCGGACCCTGCGGGGCTTTGTCACCATGCTGATGGATGGGAACGTGTCGTTCCCCTGACTCGTGTGGCACTGACACTGTCCCCCTCCGTTATTAGGTGACGATACTTTTTGCTGACCTCCATGCTTACCTAGACAACATGAAGGCCCCCTGGGAGCTGCTGGAGTTACGTACCCGCTATTACGAGAACGTGATCAAAGCCATGCTGGAGAGCATTGGGGTGCCGCTGGAAAAGCTGAAGTTTGTCCGGGGCACTGACTACCAGCTCAGCAAGTGAGTCCTGGGGCGCCTGGTCCTCTCAGGAAGGGAGAGCCTGACCTGGGGCACTGCTGTTCCTGAGCCTGCCCTGTTCCTCAGCCTGCTGCCCGGCACTGTCATTCGGGGAACAAAGCGAAGGTGCCTCCAGGCTTTGGCTCCTCTCAGTGTGGCCAGAACCAGTGTTTGTGTGAAGCAGCTCGAAAAGATGTCCCCTCCCCGGTGCTGACAGTGCTGTCCCTTCCCTCAGGGAGTACACGCTGGACGTGTACCGCCTCTCGTCCGTGGTGACGCAGCACGACGCGAAGAAGGCGGGAGCGGAGGTGGTGAAGCAGGTGGAGCACCCCTTGCTGAGCGGTTTGCTCTACCCAGGCCTGCAGGTGGGTGACAAGGCAGGTCGGCAGAGCTGCTTCTATGCCGGGGAGGGGCTGGGCAGAGCCAGGACTGCGGGGACACGCGAGGCTGGATGCCAAGGTCGTTATACGAGGGGGTCATTCTACTGCCCTGGCAGAGGCTGGGCAGATCTTGGGGGACGGGCAGGACCTCTGAGGGCCGAGCACAGCTGGAGTGTGGAGCCTTGGGCCCCATCTCAAGGCTGCGTGTGTCTCTCCGCAGGCCCTGGATGAGGAGTACCTCAAGGTCGACGCGCAGTTTGGAGGAGTGGATCAGAGGAAGATATTCACCTTTGCAGAGAAGGTGAGGGATGGGGGTGTTGGCGAGTTCCCTGCGGTGCTGGTGCCTGGGGCAGGGCTGGAACAGTCGCCAGTCCATTGGGAGAAGCGTGTCTGTGATTTCAGCTGGCACCATGCTGCTCTTCGCAGCGCCTACTGCTATTCTCATCATCCTTGGGGCTCTGGTGTGCAAAATAGTGCTGCCACACGTCCCTGGCTGCAGCTCTCCATGGCTTATGAACTTGTGGTAGCTTTCTGGCTCCTGTTATTCTGGGTCCCCAAATTATCTGGAGCCAGGAGCAAACAGGGATTGGGAGTTCAAGCCCATCTTCAGAAGAGGCTTGTCCGTGACTTGCCTCCTTGCTTTTTCCCAGTACCTTCCTTCCCTGGGCTATGCCAAGCGCGTCCATTTGATGAACCCGATGGTTCCCGGTCTGACAGGCAGCAAAATGAGCTCGTCAGAAGAGGTTGGT